AATTATGCCTCACAGCTGTACAAATGTGTGTCATCGGAGGAAATGTAAAGCATGAAGTTGGAAAGAAGGTGTTCTTAATAAGATCCTCCGTAGATAAATAAAAAAAGGACCAGACCGAATGGAAATCAACTATTATACCCAGCTTGTAGAAAACAGCTGTCCAGTGTTTTGTAACATTTTACAAGGTCTGAAAAGGCTCATTTATCACGCTTAGCCTTTAAAATGTTGCCCCCACAGCAACAGGAAAATTATAACTGCTTTTAATTTAATTAGGCTTAATGAAAACCTGTAATAGCATTAGTGCAATGAAGATGTTTCAGTTGGGAAAGACACGTTAATTAAGGTTGAAATTTAGGATAGTAAAGCTGTTGGAACACATTGAGGAAGACTGTATAGCAGAAATGTTTAAGCTCAAGGGCTTAAATATGGGAAAGTGCACACTGTAGTTTATAAATGAGTTCATATTTCTTAAAATAGTCCAAAAACAACCGAAAAAACTGAAGCCAAGGAGTTTAAGGGGGAGGAACGTGGCAAGAAAAGGCTGATGAAAAGACAGGTCAAATAAAAAGCAAAACACTAACAGGATACTGGAGTATTAAAGGTCCAGGAGGCAATTTCATTTTGGCAGCAAACTAAATATGAACTCTTAAACTTCAGTTCTGTTTATTTAGCTTCTGGAATCACGATAGTGTATTAATGTGGCCTGGATGCCTCACTCCGTCAGTTTCTCTGAGAGCAAATGGGGGGAGAAAACATACATTCTTGCATTGGTTTCCAGCCTGTTTATGCCTACCATTGACTGATGGTCCTGATGACGCAGGGAGGGTGTGTGAGCCAAAGAGCCAGATAGCTGTGAGTACAATCTCACAGCTATCTGGAAACTTGCAGGAGAAAGAGAAATGTTCCTGTGGCTGTGAACATGCACTCAGGATTTATCTCCCTCTATAACACGCACACACAATTTGGAGAGGAGCAGTGAATTGAAGATCATGGCCAGATGCTGTAGTCTGCTGTGGGAAGAGCGGCAGCCAAACATAAACTGCACACCAGAGTCTGAGAAACAGAGAGGAGGAGGGAGTAGTGATTAGATACAGTCTTATTTCCTGGTTCACTTTGGTGTCATGTTAGGTCACAGTGTTAATAGCTATTCCAGATTTGTATTAAAGATTAAGGAGTACCAGTGTGGTGAGTTTGAATAAAATGCTAAAGGGATTAGAGTGTCAAGATCCTGCATTGTGGCTTATTGTTTTTACAATATTTTTCTTCTGTCCCTTTATGTTTTATATTTCTCATCTGTCATTAGTGGGCCAAGAGTGATAATTTTAATTAGAGCCTGACTATATTTTGGAGAAAATATCTTCACCAATTTTGTAGGTGAAAAATTCTGATATCAGTATCTTTTAGGAGGCTGATATTCGCCTAAAGATGTATCGGTCTGGATCTCATTTTAAGTTTATGATTGGATGTTTTTTGCTGATTTGCACTCTTGGGGTCATTTCTCCTTCACCGTAACCCAAGTGGCCGAGCATCGTAACCCTTCCTGAGTCTGGTTCTGTTGGACGTTTCTTCCTGTTAAAAGGGAGTTTTTCCTTCCCACTTTTGCCAAGTGCTTGCTCATAGCAGGTCATCTGTTTGTTGGGATGTTTTCTGTATTATTTAGGATCTTTACCTCCCAATATACCTTGAGGTGGCTGACTAGAACTCAATTTGAATTGAACAGATTTTTTTATACACAGGCTTTTGTCTTTTACTTTTTTTTAAACAAATATTTTGTTACTTTGTTACTAAAATTGTTACTAGGGAGTGTTTTCTTGCTGATTCTTCGTGTAGTATGTCATGTTGTAGGTCACCTACAAAAAATGGTCTAAAATAACTGCTCTCATATAACAATTTAATAATGAACCTGATGTCATTACCTGAAGACTTAAACATTCACTTGTCTTTGATATGTCTGGTTGTTTTGTCAGACATATCTAAACTAGCTGTGACTACTTTAGCTCTATACTTACTCATGGACCTAACTCTGAAATGAAGCCTTGACGTTTGGGTAATGAAACTCTAGATATACAAAGCTGATCACATGGCTTTCTGTTAACAAAGGAACTGCCCAAGGTTAGAAGTGGGACAACTTGAATGAGGTTTTGTTTTGTTGTTGAACAAAATGTGGAAGTGTTCAGTGCAAAGTGTATTGTCTTGCTACTTTAGCCCCACACGTTATATTGCTATAGAAAACTTTTCACCTGGTGGAGCAGGGTTTAGAATAAATAACATCAGATGGTTGTTTCTTCAAAGAAATAGATGTTAGGTGCCCAGAAGTTTACAGTTCGACGCCCCTAACACCACTTTTGGTTGTAAGGAAATTCCACCGGTCACCTGACTTAATTATTAACACAGACATATTAACAACATATTGCAATCTGTTTTGGCACAGTCTGTGGCTATGAGCGGAACAACTGGAAACTGGTTGCCAACTTGTTGTGTTGTACACTGACTAGCAAGGTTGCCAAGCACATATATTTTTTATGCAGACTCTATTTGTGGTGGGATTTCTGTTTCAAATCTATAGAGTTCTTGCTGGAGTCTGAATAAAAGTTTTAAATGAGAAAGATTGTGTATGCAGATGAGAAAGGATTTGCAATTTTTGCTGATTTAACACAGTTATCACCATATTATTGCAAACAGATTGTGTCCACTTGACTCCGTTCAATTGTAAACTGATAGCAGACTGACTTTTCTGTCTTTTTGTTGTCTTATTGCCATCTTGACGTACCAAAGTCACTTTGAAGATGGAAGCCAACTATGAGTGGTTACAGGCCTGGTCCCCGTCTTCAAAGCAACCATTTCAGAGGCAACAAGATCACAAGTTTATTGCACACGTTTGCAAATATGTTGTTCATGGCTTGGCCCCCCAACCGCCATTGTAGCATAACTCTGACTATCTAACTGGAAATTGCAGCCAGTCTGCTCTGTCAGCTTTGCAAAAAAAACCCAAAAACTCTTAGCCTGGCATTTGAATACTGCACATCCACTTTTATGAATCATCCCTAAAATCTAATCTTAGGCAAAAAAGCAGATTAGGGTTTTTCCTAAAATGTCGAATAAGACAAGTGCAGATGATGAAACCCAAATCTTTTGCTTCAGACCTCGCTCCGATCCCTGTTCATCACCCACCCTGCCCTTCTGGTAAAATCTGTGACCAACCACCCACATTTTGTGGCATTTAAAAGCCTTCCTGTGACCATGAGTCCCTCCCAGCAGCTACCCGTCAGCTCCCTCTCAGCCTGTTTGCTTGTTTTGAGCAGTGGCCTGTTGCACTAGCTGTGTGTATCTGTTCTTATGTGTTGTTTGGGATACACGGATCCTTTTCTCCTTCCCCCTCTGGCCTTGCTCAGCTGCTCCGGCCATCTGTGCAAAACCAAACAGAGAACAGAGGGGATGGAGGGAGAGAGGGAGCAGTTGGGGGGAGGAAGGAAATTGAAGGGGAGTGGGTGGATGGGGGGTATGGTTGGGAGAAAGGAAGGATCAATAGAGAAAGAAAGAAGGCCTTTTGACATTTGAGATTGAGTTTAGGGGATGAGTAGTGGATGACCGAAGATGAGGGAAGGAAAGATGAAGTGAGTGAGGGAATTGTTTCCAGGAAGCCATCGGCATAAAGATGAAGTCTGTCCTCTCGTCTCGAAATAGGAGAGTGAGTGTGCGCATACAAGTTTAGATCAGTGGAAACTGGGATGACTACTGATGTCTGGGTCCTAACGTCATACCAGCAAACATAAGCCAATAGTGATCTCATTTTGTCTTGCGTTTTTTTCTTTTCTCCCCATCTCTTTTCTCCCTTTCTCTCTCCCACCTTCTCTTTCTGTTCCCATGCTCTACAGGCCAAGCCTCTTCCTCTGGGCCGGCCTCTGTATTGCCTAAGCGTTTGTCTCACTGCTTAGCCTTCCTCGCAGCCGGCTCCTTGCTCTGTTTGTAAACTTCAGCAGGCCAGTTTCCTGCTTTTCCCAACCCACCCCGCTCTTAAACTTGTGAAGGTCTGTCCTTTTCTGCTGATCCATCCCTGCAAAAGTAGCAGGGGAAAAACTAGATATGTGGACCTATTTTATTGTAGATTGTGACCTTTTTCAGGCCTCATATGCTTCATGTTCATTTATGTCTTTGACTGCTCTGTTTGCATACCATCAGTCAAACTGCCGCCTGCCTTTGGGCTTATTGGGTTTATTGTACTTGCCTTGACCCAGTTAGCAAACACATCCAAGTCTTTCTCCCACCTCGTGCTACTTTTCTTTTTATAACCATTTTAGCCCGGTAGCGGGAAGCAGGCTCTGTTGACTTTTCTCCTCCATTATAAAAGCTGACTGTCTTAACATTTATTACAGGTGGCTTGTACATTTGTGTGTGTGCATGCAAATCTGCATGATAAACCTTTCTTTTTGCACTCCCTTAAATGTACTATCCTAGAAAACTAGTCTTCCACACTAGTGACTTTGATGTCTTTTGCAGTAAGAAAAAACCATCACAGCAACACTGGCCAAGTGTGTCACTGAGCTTTTTCGTGCCACAGAGGGGACCGTTTGCAACTGCAGTGCAGCTGCCTTTGAAATGAATGAAGGCTATTAGTAGAATGTGTTGTTTCTGCAGTAAACATGTTGTTCTGTCCTTCCCTCTATAACTCCTGAGACTTCATGCACATTTTGCTATTAGTTGGTACTAATTTTGTCTGTTTTTCATATTCTGTAGAAGTCTAGTCCCCCCTTATATACTTTAATGACACATACTGTTCTATTTCTGCACATTTACAGTTTTATTCCACCTCTCTGATACTTATGTAAAAGTATTTCTGAATGTGTGGTGCTGAAGCTCTTAGAAGATATAAGCTTATCCTTTATCTGATTCCTGAGGGTACCAACATTCCTGGGCCTCCATCTATTGATAGCAGCGAGAGCTGTTCATGTCTGGTCTTGCTGCTGACTAACTGAGCTTCTCTGTGTATTCTCTCCTTCCAGACTAACCCTTAACATCTGCAGAACGCATCTTGACCTGTGGCCGTCCCGCGCAACTTACCCCAGTCAGCCCTGCCTTGCAGTGTCAGACCACGGCCATTCGAGGGGAGATGAAGCCGGATGGGGTTGCCACGGCAGCGCTGGAGCCAATGGAAACATTGGAATCCAATCCCGTGAATGATGGCGCACCACCCGGGGACCAGGAGCCCAATCAGGCAGCCAGCGGGGTGGCAGAGGTGATGCCACAGCAGCTGGGGGGTGAAGGAGATCAGGAAAAACCACAGGGAGACCAGGCCAAGGAAACCCCAGCTGCCAAGACCAACAACAAGACCTCGGGAGACCCCAAAGCCAAGAGTACCAACAAGACCGCGACCAAGACGAAACCCGGCAACACCACTCAAAGCAAGGCTGCAACCGGCTCACGGCCCAACACATCGCAGAGCCGCGTCGCAAATGGTGTGTCCAAACCTCAGACCAACGGTGTTGCTAAGAAGACCACGCCTGCAGCGGACAAAAAGAGCACCCTGACCTCAGCTTCGTCGAAAAAACCAACAGGAACTGCCGGCGCCCCAGCCTCCAAAACATTGGCTAAAGTGTCTGAGAAGAAAGCCACGGGGGCCGCTCCTGCCACCAACGGCGCAAAGTCAACCACCGGAACAACAGCAGCCAAAAAGACCTCATCCACAAATGCTAATGGTGTCAAATCCAATACCGCTGCAGCAGCAGCAGCTAAAAAGCCCCCAGGTTGGTGAAAATGTCATCAAGATCAGCGTGAAAAGACAAATATAATTCTAGCATTCTAGCAAATGTTTTCAAAGCTCTAATGAGGAGTGCTCATTGTAATGTGATGATATGCATATAGCTGCTCATCAGATGAATTCAGCTCACATATTAGACATGCTACAGTGACTCCTGCTAAACTATAAATGTTTTTGCCCTAGATCCTTGTGACACACTGGATAAAAGCTGTCTGCCTGACCTATATCTGAGGAAAATTATTATTATTATAAACTTCTTTATTACAGCATATAATAATGTTCTTATTGTTTTACACTGCTGTCTTTTTCTTTTTCTTTTTTTTGCTTTTTTCCCCTCCTCTGCTCTCCTGTCCTGTCTCCAGCTCCCAAGCCTGCCTCCACCAAGCCCGGCTCTGTTGCCTCACCCAAACCTGATAAGCCCCCCGTTTCCAAGACAACCAGGTAGGTGTGACATTTGCGTTGGATTGAAGCCTCAGCCGTGCTCAAGTGTGTGAATCTGTTTACACATACAAGCACACACAAAGATACTTTCTGTGCGTTTGTAGATAGCACAGGCTGCTATCTATAACGCAGACGCAGACTCCTCCAGGCAAAAATGTTCAGTGTTCTTTTCTTCCTTTTGAAAACTGCTACCAAATTTCAAAATTTGCTTCAGAACAGCTGCAAATGCAACTATATGACCAAACTGATAAGAGTTGCAGGGACTGAGCTAAGCACTACAAATCTCTTCAGTGCCAAGTGAGAAGCAGTTAGTTCAAAAGGCTTTCACTTGGCTACAGGTTCAAAGAGGGCGCTGTTTAAGAAAGAGCACCCTGGGGGAATCGGGGACAATGGTCCCCCACATACAGGCTCACAGGGGCCGGGCATAAGTAGGCCAGCAACGAGGCAATGTCAGAACAAGCCTTAGAGTAATGCCTTGCAGGCTTTCATCATTATACAGCATTATTAATAAAACAAGTTTGGGGAGGGATTTAGAGAGAGGAGGATGAGCGTTGGGAAGATGAAACGAAGAACAAGATATTTTTCTGGGGGTGTTTTTTTTTTTTTTTCGTTTTTTTTGTTTTGTTTTTTGTGCTCTTTCTGTGTGGCAGTGTGCTGTGACACTATGTTTATGTGGAAATCAGATCAACATGTGTTCCTCACCTGAGTCACGCTGTATGCATGGTGCCGAATCCTGAGGTGACTTGGCAACAGACCAAGTGAGGAGGCTGAAGGAGGCCTTTGTCTGACGCCGCGATGATCATGATCAGGCAGAGGAGCCTTTGGGACTCAAGCTGCTCTTTGAATAGCTGATCCTTCTGCCTCGTCTTTGACTTTGTTTGTTTTGTTCATGCAAAGCCTCCTTTTTTTTTCCCTGTCGTGTTATGTCATCTTGTTGGTATGTCTGTGTGTAGACCCATTGTTGAGTTCGAAACACCATCTCAAAGAGATTGCACTATTTGGAGTAAACAAATAGCCTCTGAGAGAACGACCATGTAAGCATTCCCAGGAAGATGCTAAAAGTTGGACATTTTAGAAAATAGTAAATTGGAAAGATATCAAATTAAAAGGAAGGAAATAGCTAGCCTAGCTCAGTTTAGAGGTAATAACCATTCTTGGCCACTAACTCCTCTGAAGCTCACTAATTACAGTATCTTGTTATAACATGTTTTTAATCCACCCAAAAAGCAAGTGTCCAAAAATAGCATCTTAAAAGAGTTCAAACTAGATACAAAGTGCTTAGTGGGCTTAGAAAGCATTAGATCAGGTCGGGGTTAGATGTTTCTTTCTCATATGCTTTAGGCTAGGCTAAGCTAGCCCACTGCTTTTTGCAACTTTGTGCTAACATGACGGCGGTAACAGTATATTTAGAAAGGTTAATAACAAGAAAGACCAGCTAAGCTACTTCCTCAACAGCAGAAGGGGCTGTTCACTCAACATCCAGATGAACAGAATCAACTTCATTGGATTTCCTTACCTGAATGATCCAGATAAACCTCTTTATTACGTTTCTTCAATACCAAATTAAGGAATTATAAACACTGTCAAATATCATAATTGCTGACAGTAAAAATGCTTTTCAGACACACATCTGCTGCTGTAACAGAATGGAAGACAGCCTTTTTAAAGCCTTTTCTTTATATTGGACAGCAGAGGGAAGACAAGAAAGCTGGGAGAAAGTGCAGAGCCATTATAGCCTTACGGTGAGCTATACCCGCTCCCGAAGATGGTCCTTATATGACCGAAGAAAGCTCGATTTTGTTTGTAGCTAGCTCCCCTGTTCTCTTCCCTATTAAATCACTGACAGTATGTTATATATTCTATTAATACTATTCACTATACTAACATTTTCCTTCCCAGCACACACTGGTTTGCCAACCACTTTCTCCCACCTGACCCGCAAAGTGTTTTAGATCCTCCCCACCCCCACCCCCACCCCCGTCCATTCTCTCACTCTCCCTGTGCCACAGGTAACAGTTGGATTGAGGAGATTACACTCAGATTACAGCTTTATGCAATGGTTGATGTACAAACATCTTATTAAAACGAGTTACACAAGGGCACTTTGATCATCTATATTGCGGTGCACAATACTCATGTGCAGTGTTTATGAACTGCTCTGATGATTTCATTTCTGTTATACCGACTGGCTCCGTCACGTCCCACCATTGTGCATCAGTCTCCACTCCTTGGAAATATAAAACCATTAAACACACATGAGCACTATCAGGGTTAGGGCTGTATTCAGTAGTTAGTTCATTACCAGTGTTTAATCAGCAATTTATCTATGCAGATGAAACTCACTCGCAGGTGTTTTAGTTGTGCATCACATAACACTTTAAAACATGTAATAATAATTTTACATTAGCTTTAGAAATCTGTAACACTCTATATACGCCATGAATAATAAACCATTACCATTTATTTACCATATGAATAATAAACAGTAAATTGACACACTGATCACAGGACTAACGCCTTGTGGGTATCTCTAACACGCCAGCAGCTTTGACTAACCAGCTAGTGTTTCGTGGCCTGGGTGTGAGGTCAGGCTCACTGATGAATAATGAAACCTTTATCACAAACCAACAACAAACACAGAGTATATCAATACACAGCACAGACAATGTTATATGTCCCAAAGTAATCCGAATCTTGTCGTTCCCTCCTTTTATTGGGCACCAAACATAACATTAATAATAATAGTACTAATAATTACTAATAATAGTAATAATAATAGTAATAGTAAAAGTGAATTAACTATGAATTTAACATTTATTAATTATTGGGCACTGACTGATGATTATTAGATGCTGGATGATTTTTATTTACTCGCTTACACTGCCCGATCCTTCTCAGATTATTGTCTTTGTGGGATTGTGTGTTGCTAGCTGGAACACTGTAAAGTGCCCAAACGATGGGCGAACGATTTATTATCAAGACTCGCAACACAGTTGCACGTATCCCGCCTCTTCTTTACTTTTTTAAAATTTTATTTAATGGCTAAAATCTTTTTTTTTTTTTGCTTTTCTAAAATTGAATTTTGCTTGAATTTAGTAACAGGTTAGCTAATCGTTGTTATTAGCCTCCTGTTCCAGTTGAAAGAAATTTTAAAAATGCATCTGTTAAGCTGATATCTCAGGTACACTCAGGTCAGCTAAGTGCTAATTCGTTGCTTTGTAAAAGTAAGGTCACCAATGACTCGCTGCTAGAGATTGAAAGTGGAAATAAACTCACCCGTTTCACTCTTTCCTGTCAACCATAGTGCTCGTGCAGACATCCGCTGTTCAGTCTGTGTCACACAATTAGCATTATAGAGGGTGGATATTGTTACATTAATCCAGCACAGCATTATTAGCTAACCGCCCCACCTCCACACACATCAACCATGTCACGGTTTGAGGCCAGATTTGCCATTTCAGACATTTAAATGCTGCTCTGTTCCCACTTCGCCTCCATCAGTCATTACAAAGGCTTTGTACCGCAGAGCTGGCAGGGTGAAATCCATTTATTATCCAGCGTGACTTCAGTCTTTATGTCAATCCATGTCAATATCCATGTTTTACATTGAATTCTTAACACATTCTCTGTTATTATTATCATTATTATTATTATTATTATTATTATTATTATTTGTAAGCATGCCAAGCTAAATCTTTAGCTAATAGCCTGAGTAGGTAACGTGAACACTTTGTTCAAAAGACTGAGCTGAGGTTGTAATTATAGGCATCTATAAGATGCAATATTCAGTGCTATTGGTGCATGTGCTCATGCATTGGATGTGTAGTCCAGAGAAGCCTCCTCCTGCAGTAAATCTCCATGAATCCCCATGAGAGAAGTATAACTATTAGTCACGATTGGCTCTTCTGACAGCCCCTTGTACCCTTGTGGGCATACTTTGTTAAGTGTGTGTATGTGCATGTCTGCTTTAGTAAATGTGATGTGCTTTGACAGGGCCATAAATTTCAGCTTTAATTAGATTTTGCCCTTTTCCTACCTCACTCACTCCGTAATTCAGGCCTACCATCGGCAGAGTGGGGGAGAGCTCAACAGACACATTAACTGCCACATCAGACGCACTCTCCTCCTCCTGTTGCTGCCGCACACACACTCAAACACATTGGGGCTCTCAATTTATGCAGTGTTACTCAGTTGATTTAATTCCATCCAAAGCAGATTTCACTTATCAGACAAACAGCAAATGCTGGTTCACAGAGTGACATCAATCTATGTAATTTGAGGCCACTTATAAATGTTTTCTTTCTCTATTGAGCTGGAGGGTTTGGGGTTGTTTTTTTGTTTTTTTTTGCAAAATTGAGTTACATTAAACACAGCAGGGACTCTTTCTTGTAACTCATCCTTTCCGTTCTCTTTAACCTCGTAATCGCACTCTTAAAGTTACCAGAAAGATGGCTTTGTCAAATGAAGATGAAGCCTGTTGTGTCAGCAGTACATCACCAGCATCAAGCTTAAACTTGTTAAGCATGTTTGCAATGTGCATGAGTATAGCTACCTGCTCACTTTATAGTATGTGCATGTCTCTGTTTTTCATAAAGGTCTTGTGTCTGGACACTCATTAAATTGTGTGTACGTGTTATATGTGCACCTGCTGTTTGATGCTGATTGCATACAGCATGTAGCATGTGAGGGAAAATATTTGTGTCAAAACACAGGAAGTGGAAATCACTGTTGGATCTTTGAACATTATATTACCTACACATGCAGCAGTGTGTGTGCTAGTAGCTTATGTCCCAGGTTGTGTGCATGAATATTTACCAATTTCTTGCCTCTCTCTTGTTTTGCATTGAGACTTGAGTGCTGGTGTCTAGCATGAAAACCGCCCAATAGGAGACTGCAGCACACTGTGCATTCCCCTTATAGGTGCTTTTGTGTGTGCACGGATGATTGCACTGGAGAAACAGCATGCAGAGCATGTGTTCATTTGCCGATATATTGCTGTGTATGATGTGGACTTAAAGGTGGGGGGAAGGGAGTCGTACGCGCGTGCTCGCTGGACACGTAGTACACGGTCACGTGACGCCGAGCCGGGTTCTCCTGCTTGCTCTGCCGTCTCTAGCTGCGGCGTAGTGAAGACAAAAATGATGGCGGTTGAGTATGGATGCTTCGCGATCGCATACGTCACTGATGAGCTCCCGTCACTGCTGCCAGAGATGCTTGTCGTGTTAGGGCTCTACATGCAGCAAATTAGTGTTTGAGAAAGAGGCACAGAGGTGGAGAAAGGAGGAAGGAGCAGAGGTTAACTCTGCTTGAAGCAAAAGGAAAGAAATTGCCCTGTTGGAAATCAGAGGACAGATCAAGGGCATTCAGTGCTATATAAATGCACTCAGAGAAGTAGATGTGGTAGCCTTTGAGCTATCAGGGTCTTTTTTTTCATCACCTTTATGCTGCCCACTCAGCTGCCCATGTTCCCACATTAGTCATGGTGTTTTCCTCGCTGATGGTCCCTCGGGGATGATAAATTTTTATTGGAGGGGAATGAATGCAGCCCTCCTCGTCATCTAACAAATTACTGCTGATGTAACGGTCCAACACCGGTTTGTGTGGTAAGCAGCAGCTCGTGCCACACAGTGTTCAGCAGTCCGATATGAAGACAAACAACGCACAGCGCAGGCTGTAAATCTTCCCCCGTGCCACGGGTGTGGCCAACCACTCCACGAAGCAGAGTCCCGCTGCCATGATGTTATTAGGGAGCAGCCGCAGAGCTAATTACTAAATGGATTTAGTAATCGGAGGGAGGGACAGAGTATGATTGAATGTGAGGCAGACTTGTTTGTGGGTGTTCCACTCATGATAAAGACATGTGGCAGTTCTTCAAACACTGCAGTTTTTAGTCAAACATTTCAAAGACTAGAGAGGTGATATGTTTTTATCCACCCTGCATCCTGGTTAAACAGGTCAACCACTGGAGATGTTTCCATTTAACCCAGCCTGTATTTATCATGGTTCTGGCAGTTGGCCCATTTTACGAGCACTCTATAAATGACCTTAATGCCGTTACTGTTTAAGGTAGAAAAAAACTGTTTGGGGAGAAGTTGAGCTTTACAGGATTGTTGGGGTATCAAAGTAGCATTTTTTTTCAGCCTGAGTTATAAAATGAGGCCAGATGTCCTGTATGATACTTCTGTGATAAAGGGTTAAACAAGAGGAAACTAGTCTAGTAAGAAAATAGAAATCCACCAGAAGTGAGCAAAATCTAACAGACGTGTTAAACACTGTCAACACAAGACAAGATGTGTGGCACTTTGAAGCGTGCATAAATCATTTACAGCTAGCACCGGCAGTCACATCCACACGTGAGCGCAGAATACTTTTGTCAAGTGCTTATACGGCACTTTGCTCTGACGCAGCCTGCGTGAAGTACAACAGCTGATCCGTGGATCAAAGTACTGCAGAACCATCAAGCTGTCGTCTGTGTTAGCTTCCACCTTACTCGTTTGTAACTTCCCCTCAGAGTGTGTGACAGCTGCAGCGGTGAGTAGTGGCGAGTGACTGGATAACATGTTAGATCTGACATGTATCTGATCCTGTGCTTTCATTTAACCAACTAAGTATGCCGAGAAGTCGCACACATCCCTCACATAAACTGAAGTGTAGTACCCTGCCTGCAGTGATCATTCTCTTCGATTCACATTTAGATAAGGTTTAGATGAAATTTCATCCAGGTTATGAATCATGGAGCCTCAAGGTGCTCATTTCCTGCTGCAGAGCAGTGTGACACCTGCATTGCTTAGGGCTACCCTACTGCAACCTTTGTCTTAAATAAAAACACCTTATTAAAGGAAAAAGCGCTCTAAGGAGCAGAGCTCTGATCAGGTTCATTTAATGGAGGGGTTATCTTGCCTCTTTAATTATCACAGCATCATACTTTAATTTATCTGCTTGTCTTTGGAGAAGGAAGCTCGTCTCCACCGTAGATGGACGTCTGTGCTGCAGGGAAGATGTCTGCCTGCACGGCTGCTTTGCTCCTGATTACTCATTTGCCTCCCCCTTTTGTCGATCTCATTATTTAAATCATAGCCCCGAATCCCGTTGGATCGCAACAAAGCACCACCAGCAGGCAGCCATGTTTTTGCACACAGCAATCCTTTCTCAGCTGAAGTGTCGTCAGTGATCCTCCGGCGTCTTTAAGTATTTTTTACAGTGCGCCTGTAGCAATGAGAGTCATCTGATTTTTCAGCTTCGGTCCATTTCTCGGTGTCGCGTTGAACAATTTGCTTTAGCCCCAATTTATAGTGTTTCTCTGAGCGAGGCCTGTGGTGGGATGAGAACAATAAACAAAGCTTCTTTCCCTTAGCACAAGCTGCCCTTTGAGTTAAATGTAGGCGCATCATTTAAAGACTACAATGAGTCCTGCAGTCTTCTCAGTCATTTGGCTGACAAGAGAGCTTAATTACAGAAGCAACATCACCGTGTTTAGGCTTCGTCACCACAAGCCAAGTTGTGGTAAACTAATCTTGGAACACACAAGATCTAATTCTACTGTGAGATGGAGTCTTACAATACTGTGGATGTGGAGACGGCCGTGTTTAACAATGAGGAAGGAAATCATGGTAATAAATAATCAAAACCAGTGCAAGAACAAAAGAACATAAACACAAGTAAAGAAATACTGATCCAAGTAAATTGGACTGAGAGCCAGTAGATACGCATTACAACTCAACAGAAATCTCCTTCACTGTCTCTGTCTCCATCTCCGTCGCGCCTCCTTCTTTTTCAGTGACCTGGTTAATTTCCAGCGCTCTTTAAAGTCCTCCTGCCTTTTTGGATTATCCACATTCCTTTTATCAGGCAGATTACTGTGAATGCTCTCTCTGAATATCCCATTAGCATACTTCATCTCTAATGCCAGTCTCTATCTCTTAATTCTCCCCATTCTCTTTTCCCTGTAATTCCCATCTTTCACTCTCTAATTCAGACATCATCTTTTTTTTGTCCTGAAGAACAGATTCTAAATTTGAGAGCTTAAAATCTTAGTATCTTACTCACTAAACTGGGATTTTACAGTTGAGATGTGGCTTTTACGCTGCCTCCATAGCAAAATTCACAGCAAACGCACTAGAACGTGAGCAACATTAACTCCCAGATTTAGCAGAAAACAGTCGGCGTCAGACATGCTAAAACAATGAATCACAGCTCAGAATGATCAGCACGATCCTGACATGATCCAGCAGCCTCACTATTAGTAACACACCTTCACTGCCCCAGAGCTTGCATGATGTGAATCAACTGCAAAAGCTTCTTTAAACTGCTGAGTTCACCACACCCTTATCGGGTTTTCACTCTCATTTCATGTTGCCACACTGTATTCCCGTACATTTGCCAGGCTGTGAATAGCACACGCTACTTCCTCGCCTTTACGAAGTGAGCGTGCCTTTAACATAGCCCGTGCTTCCAGCTGAGGGGAGGGGTGGTGCTGGTGCTGCTGGATTTGGAAGAGTTATATTTGTTCTCCTTTCAGTATTAAAGATTAACATGGTCCCAGCCATCTTCACTCTCCCTCCACCTCCCTCCCGCTGCCTGTTCTCTTTCTGCCAGTATTAACTCAATTCTTTATTTAGAAACAGGCAGTTAGTGTAGCGTGGGCCCGAGAGACTGCACACCACAGCCCTGTCAGGACTACTAGATGTAGGTTACTTCGCTCAGACGTGACATAGGAGCCAGCATCTAGGCCAGGAGAGCCAGAGCAGGCAGAGCTGACGCACGCTGCCCCAAAGAATCACCCCCATGTGAGGAGGGAAGTGGGCAAGGAGGGATCAACTGGGGTCAGTGTGCCTCTCTGGGGCCGCTCTGACTCACCTTCAACAACTTGATTGTCCCTGGAGGAGTTTGTCATGGACTTGGAGTCAAAGTTTGCTTTCATACTAGTCCAGTGGTACTTCTGAGTAAAAGAAACTCATAAAATATGTATGTGGGGTAATCAGGTTGTTAGTTCTTAACAGTTGCAAATCTGCAACGTCTGCCTGGAGAGGGTTAATTGGCACTTTTAGGTTGGTGTCACGTGTTTTCTGACTGCTCCAAAGTTTTTGTCCTGCATCTATAAATAAAAATAAAAACAAATGAAATGAATTTGTGCCAAAGCACCTCAGGGGCTGCCCTGATGGTGCATTACTAGTGTGCCTTTTGAAAATCCTTACAAAAACTGACAGGGAACTAATGTAAAGGCTTTTAAATCAGTACTCAGGCAGCTCTGAATCATTCATGTCTACCCTCCTGTCCTTAAGAGGTAAGTCTCAATAGGTGTCTACCTTATGTGAACCCGTTGACTCATTGAATTTAGCGTTGCTGCAACAGCTAATCAGGTCAGTGCGTTGGCTATTTGCACATGCTTTAATTTATTATTACAGAAGATGTTTGCACTACTCTGCACTTCATTTTTAAAATAGATGGCTAGCCTTTGTTGTCTAGAAAGATTGCAAATCAGCCATTATATATTGCTTTCATTATTAATATTATGTATGTTTAATGTTAGTGTTGTGAGCTATGCAAGCATTGTTGCTTGTGTGTGCTCTTTCTTAAGTACCCTTTAGCAGTAGAAGTGTCTTCTGCTGACATGTCAAGCTCTTGCTCGCTGTCAGAGCCGTTCTGAAGCACTCGGAGCACAGGGTTGATCAGCACACAGTCAGGGTGAGACTTGATGTTTGCCCCAAGATGTGGGTGACTTTAAAAACTCAAATGCTTGAGTCACTTTCAGTTAATCTCCATTCCCTGAGTTCTGTAACCAGGGGATTCACTGTCTGTTAAATTCATTTCACTGTCGGTCTCATTTGTGATTTGGACATATTGTGTAGTGCAGCTTAGTATTTGCTAACCCTTCTTCTCTGTTATGTCTCTTCAGGCCTACAACCGGCACAACTTCATCCCCTCGTCCTGCCACGGGCTCATCTCGGCCACCTACTAGCAGCAACGCCAAGAGCTCCCCTGCTACAACCAAACCTGCCACTCCTAAAACTCCCTCTGCCGCCGCCAAGCCGGCTACCCCCAAACCAACCTCCACTACCCCCTCTGGTGGCAAACCTCCATCTCAAACATCCAAAACCACAACCCTTGTGAAAAAAGGTAAGGAAAAAGAAATGAGAAAAGAAACACAATAGCATTTGATACCAATTAATAGCAAGTATTATGACTACTAACACAAAAGAAAAAGAGATGTTTTTAAGATGCCAGTGATGAATAAAGCTCTGGATGACAGGTACTTCCATAGTTTCGGGCTAACAACTGACACCCCTTGATTAAAAATAAATAAATAAATGAATGAAAAAGCAGATCTGGAAAAGTTGTGATGGGGTGCTAGACTGTACAGAAGCCTGCTCGTTGCATTTTGCACCAGCTGCAGAGGAAATAGGACTACCTGTAACAAAACAAGAGTCGAGATGATGTTTCTGACAAACGTTTTCCATGCACTAGTAGGTAAACACAGGGGTGAATAATCATTTTGATAAAAGCTCTGCACTAAATACAGATGAACGTTAATTAATGTCATTAGTAACACCTGTGTTTCCCTGCTGTGCGCTGGGAAAATGGACTTCTGAATGAGTGTTTATTCAGGGATGGTGTGTTAAAGGTCTTTCTCTGTGTTACTGGGACAAAAGGGAGAATAAATAACCACAAAGAGAAAATGAACAATACAACTACTGTTAGCATCAGCTGTCAGCCCACCACTGGCAGCTGTGCCTTTTAAACCAAAGACAAAGAGGTTTTGGAGCAGTAGCAGAGCTGAATATTAAGACTTCATTCATGTTTTGGGTCAAATACATGACATTGTCACTGCCACTTTAGGCATCCACAAGTCTGATCACCAGGTTTTAAATCGAAGGTACAGCTGGGTGTCATCGGTGTAAGAGTGGTAGGAGATCATCTGTTAACATATCATGGAGTGGAGATAGAGAAGTACTGTAGGAGTACATTTTAACTACACAGTCAAAGGAGCTTGCAAAGAAAAGCATCTGGACTTCTTTAAGTTACTTGAACACAGAAGAGCCACCTCCACAGGACAAGAATCAGCAGTCCATCTGCATCTTAAGGATAAAGGACACTCTTTCGAGGATGCCAATGTTCACATTTTGGACAGAGAGGACAGATGGTTTGAAAGAGGAGTGAAAGAAGCCATCTATGTCCACTGTGAGCGACCATCTTTGAACAGAGGCGGGGGTTTACGACACCAACTCTCTGCCATCTATAATCCAGTTTTGAGATCCCTTCCCAGACGCCTTAACGCCCACTCACATCCTGGGCCATCTGACCTCAGGAATTCGCATGATAAGGTGGGGCCAGGTTTCACAATGAACTCACCCGAAACTCTGGCTGATTGGGACCCACACCCAGTTTCACACCTTGGCTCAGGCGATTAGAGGATCATCAGGGGGTCCTTTTGTCCCTCTGTGGGGGGATACTCCCACTAGGTTTATATCTGGGACTCTCCACCATTTGACCTTAGAACTGAAGAAGCTTCTCGGATGAGAGGTGAAACGTCTTCAAGCAACTTAAAGAAGTCCAGACGCTTTTCTTTGCAAGCTCCTTTGACTACGATGACCTGGATGACTGAGAACCTTCACAGACATTTTAACTACACGCATATGCATGCACATGAAAGGTGTCACACTTCTTAGTCTTAAATAAATAAGTAAATTGTACCGTAAAGACTGTAATTATCAGCAATGGAGCGGCCACTGCAAAATATTCCTCATCCTGTGGACAGACTCCAAGCAGCACCAGTCTGGTTAGAGTGGTCCTCCAGCAGAACTCTAGAGCAAAACAAGACATTGAATTCTGGCTTTGAAACAGGATCAGAGACACTGATACTCGTCACAGCAACCTGTACAGTCTGCCCTCCTGTGACAAAACAGGCTGGTGAGCAGTGGCTGAACTTTAAAAACAGGAGTGAAGTGTTGTCCAAAGTAAAGTGATCACATCATTTCCTCAGATGGATGTAAAAATAAAACATTAAAACATAAAATGTGTTTATGTCTGCCCGCTCTAGTATGTTATAATTATGTGTAAGACTGATATGTGTTTTATGGCTCTGAGATCTCACAATAAATGAATAAATTAATTAATTTCAATTTTATATTCCATATATTTGGCCTGATTACAGTGTTAACTACAGAAAACTCAGTGGTGACTTTGAAGGGATCAATAAAACGTTGTTTGTCTGCTTCCTGTTTACAAGGGGTTGCCATAGCAGATGGATCCACATGTTTGATTTAGCAGATTTTTATAGGGGATATTCTTCCTGACACAACCCTTCTAAGGTTTTTTCTTCTGGGTCTTGACTGTACATTATGCAAATGTGTTAAACATTACACTGTGGGTTTAATCATCAATGATGTGTTTTAATTTTCTACAATATCACATTGTTAAACCACCCCTTGTGTGCTTTTGTGCGTTTTTTCTAGATGTCACCAAACCCTCAACGCCAGCAGCCAAAAAGCCTGCAGACTCCCCCCTTACTCGCCCTTCTTCTACAACGAAGTCAGCAAAATCCGAGACTTCCAAGTCCGCTTCAAAATCAGAGGTCACTGCCAAAAAGCCTGCTACTAACAAGCCAGCAGACACCAAAACACCTAACCGCCCCAAAACACAAGAGAGCAAGCCTACACCAGCTAAGACTCCTGGCTCCAAAACCAAGACCTCCAGCCCCAAGAAAACTGTGGGAAGCAGCACACCAACTCCTGTTAAACGCGCCCCTAAAGCTGCCACAGCCGCTGAACCTGAAAAGGAAGTTGCCGCAGCTGTAGCTGCTGCAGCAGCGATTGCTGCCACAGTAGCTGTTATTGCTGCGCCAGAACAACCAGAGCCTCCTGCAGAACTAGCTGTGGAGCCATCCATTACAACTCCTGAAGAAAAATCAGCAGAGCTCACACCAGAACCAGAACTAGTCTGTGCACCAGTGGCTGAATCAGTTTGTGAACCAAAACTAGAACCCGCACGGGAATCCATACCAGAACCCGCCAGGGAACCTACACCAGAGCCTGCAAGAGAACCCACACCAGAGCCTGTCAGGGAATCCACTCCAGTATCTGTAAGAGAACCCACACCAGAGCCTGTCAGGGAACCTACACCAGAACCTGCAAGAGAACCCACACCAGAGCCTGTTAGGGAA